CCCTGGGTATATACTGTAGATGAAAGAGCTAGGACACTGTGCTAGATGCACCTTTGGTCTGACCTATATATATGACTGTTGTTATGTTCAGTTTCTGGAAATTGCTGGAGGATCTTTCTGTTACAATGGTGCCAAGATCCCAAATTTCAGCTATCCTTTTTGATTTGGAAGTAACATCACATCGTTCCCTCTCCAAATTATAGCACCAGACTACCAGATATCATTATGTCTGCTCTCTCTGTTATCTAATTCATCTGTTAATAAGGAATATTCCAGAAAGTCTACAAGATAAATCCCCTAAGGGAAGAGCAGAGAGAAATCTAGATGGTGACTACATCTGTTACTACACTGAGCTCAGTTTATGGCTTATCTTCACCACACATCTTTTATCACACCTGCTGGAGCAAAATGAGGGAATCATTTGAAACGTCAAGAAATTTATTCCTTCTTTTTCTTCCTCTCCTTTGGGGAAGTTAGGAATTGAACTAATTCAGAGTAATGGAAGATTGTAGACAAGATTAGACATTCAATTCTAAGTGCTTTCAGCTTTCTCCCAGCTAGCCTCATCAGAGAGGCTTCAAAGTACAAATGCCTGCGGACCTGCAAAATTAGGTGTTCGGTCATTTTCCCTCTTCAGAAAGAGGGAGGCTAGCATCTTCTTCTAGACCATCTGCAATGTCCAGGGATGAGTTTGTGGTTTTGTACTTTGAATATAGCTATTCTATTTTACAGATCACCTGGACAGCAGACAACACCTTAGTAGTTACTGCTGATGACATTAAAGTGCTTATCCTTGGCCTCTGCAACTCAGCATCCTTAATGTGCCTGTTTGTACTGATTACAACAAGTATTAATTCAGGATCATTTGCCTTAACCTGTGAACACCTCCATCCAAAAATTTCCTTTCTTCGCTGTTGTAAGCTTTGAAGTCAGTAGAGCATCGTTCTCTTTCACCCTTACTCAAAATGCCTAGTTCATAAAGGCTATCCTTACAACATTGCTACTATTGAACTCTTACTTTACTCAGTGTGCTGAGCCTGAGTTGGTTGGCTACGCGCACACTGAAGGGGATTAGCCATGGTTTTGTATTTGCACCTTCTCTTTCCCAGGTTGACTAGGTGTCTTTACAGGAGTGACTTGATCTGAAACATGGACCCAACATAATATTAATTACAGTGCCTTTGGCAGAACCCATCCTTTCCAGGAAGTCAAGAATGCCTGACACCTCCCATTTTTTTTAATCAATGTATTTGGACCATTTTTTGTTTCGCTTCCCAGTGTTGTTCCAAGACTAATGTTCAGGTAGTTACTGGAATGATTCAATTCCAGAACAATGTGCTTAGTGTCTTTTTCAGTACTTGAAATCATCACTGGATTCAGAGTTAATGGAGAACATTGTAGCAAGTTCCTAAAAGAAGGACAAAATGGAATATACTCATTGCTTCTATTCTGAGAAGTAACTGGAACAGTTACTGTTCATACATCATGTGGGACTCCACACTGGTTGACAAATCTGTTGTAGTTTTGGGGCAAAGGGTCTGCAGGCATCAGAAGTCTGTTGTGTATAAACTACATCTTAAGACTATATTTAGTAAAAAGTACACTCCTATGCCATTTGAAAATATGTTTTAACTGCCTGATACTTACAAGCTGGTGCCTAATTCCCTTATGAAAGAGGAGTTGGGTTTTGGTATTTGTTCAGAAAAAATACCAACATTTTTGGGAATTACTTTTTCTGAAAAGTTGTTTTCTGTACTGAAAAGATTGTGGTTTAAGCAAAATATATGCATGTGACGGACAGTACCGGAATTCCTAAAGTCTAGTCCTGATATTTACTGGAAATTTTTTTTCTCTGCTTATATTAACAAAAAAGAACACTTCAGCACCTTCAGTGCTGGTACTGTCTTACGAGTAAACCTTTTTGTATAAGAAAAGAATAAAAAGCTTTATAGTTCTGTGTTTAGTGGCAGAGAATATATGATCTTTGTAGACATAATATTTTTGTCCCTGTTTGCTTCTCAGCCAACCAGGAAGTCTTAAATAAAGTAGAGGTTCAGTATGAGACACTCCCAGGATGGGATACGGACATATCAAATGCAAGGACATTTGATGACCTGCCTGTAAATGCACAAAATTATGTTCGCTTTATAGAAATGGAGTTGGGTGTTCCTGGTAAGTAAAACTGATTTTGTTGTTTTGGTTTTTTTCTGCTCCATGAAACTTATCTTGTACTTTGCCTTAATGAACATTCAAAATATTAAAAATTAATTTGTAGCTGTGCTTATTCTGATGTGCCTAGTGATACTTGTCATTATTGTTTTACTTCTTTTGATCTATTTATTTAGCTGTTGAGTTGAAAATTTTCAACAAAAGTTTTAATATGCATTCTTTCATTGGCTTATACTATGGTTCTTGTTCAACTGAGATTTTTATAACTTGCTTAAGTGGTTTTTTTCAGATTGGTCATAACAAGGGCTGAGTTCTGCTGCCATTATAAAGTCAGTTGGACTACTAGTATATTAATGTGATTAAATACACGTGACAGTAAGAGGTCCCAAACTAACAAATTTTTCTTATGCTCCCTAATAAAAATGATCCTGTGGTTCCATCCAGAGCTGGGAATTAGCAGATGATGCAAATCTTTACTTTTCTTACAGTTTCTGTGTATCTTTTTTCCCTATGATCTGGAAGACTGATTTATTTATTGTGGCAACTTCAAGACTGTTCCTGCTTTTCTAAGTTACCAATGCGTTCTTACTTTGAGAACAATAGACATAGCCATCATTGCTTAATGTACTAATAGTATATGCTGTGTTTTTTCTTTAGACTATGGTACTTAAGATCTTAGGCACTTAAGATGATAAGTTTGTATCTTATCTTCAGATACAATCTGATCTTGCTTTCTATTACTTATAATGAAAGTTTGTTCTTCTCTCCTGCAGTTAAATGGATTGGAGTAGGGAAATCCAGGGAATCAATGATCCAGCTGTTTTAAAGATTTCAGATGCATGGAAGAAAGCACACTCCTCAAAAGACTGCTCATTCTTAATGCATTAGTAGCCCGCAAAGCAAAGATGTTGGAAAGATAGATTTTTGCATGGAAAGAAATGCCAGAGTTGATACCCCCAAATCAATCGCTACTCCTGAAAGAGACTTTAACATGAACCTGTATCAGTTCTTGTTCGACTGCAACTTCCAGGACACTTGTCATTGTTGTTCGAGGTGCCATTGGATTTTTTTTTCCTTTACCTAATATTAACTTCATAATGTAATATCTGTTTGAAAATCTAAGGCAGCATTACTTTCATGACTGTTTGTTATCCTCTCTCTGCTTTTGGCGGTGTTACTTCCCTGAAATTTTAGACAGTAAAAATAATGCAGTTTTGCACAGATAGTTTTACATCCTCATTATTTGTATTCCTAAAGCTGTTGTATTCTTAATGGCTGCTCTTGTGAGTGATTAAAGAGGGGGGATTCTGATTTTATAATGCTATAAATGCTGTCTAAATTATTGTGATCTGTTTTTTAAAAAAAAGATGTGATGCCAAGTTGTTAAGAATGTCCAGGATTTTTTAGCTGTGTAACACAGAAAACTTACTCTTTGTAACTCGCAGAGGACAGTCAAGTGTTTACCAGGAAGTGTGCCCAGAAAAGTTAGAAAATTGATATTGTAAAAAGTTCATTTGCGATTATTAAAGAACTGTTCTGATTTTGAGTTAAATGTTTTATAATGTTACTCTTCTTTTTTTTCTGGTATTTTAAAAGCCATGCACTTCTCTGCTTCCAAGTGCATATCTCAAACTGTTTCCCTAATTAAATGAGGTTATATTTATATTTGGTGAGAAGTCTAACATTTTGATGCCCTTTTAAATTCCTTTTTACATAGCCAATAGATGATCTTTCTCTGGAGACCTGGCAAAACACAGACACTTTTGTAATTATAAATTGAAGATGCTTTAGAAATAACATTTAAAGTATTCAACGTATTTGCTTTAGATGTGGGGCAAGTATTCACCTCATGACATCTGACATATTTGGGCTTATTAGTGTTGGGAAATGTAGAATTATTTTAGTTTATAACTGTTATTATATATTCCAAAGAATCTGATTTCTTTTGGCAACAGCCCAGTACTTACATATTCCCTTTCCAGATTTTTTGAGAATGAGTTTGTTTTTACACACTATACTATGGTGTTCATGTGTTTCCTTTTCACTTCAAATAAAACTTACAAGCTTGTTTTTAGGAAACAAAGTATCAGGGTAGGGCAGTAGTTCTAGATTTAGTTTAGTAGATTTCAGCTATGCAGGTGAATATAAGAAACTTTTAATGCAAAATGAAAGATACGAGACCTTTGAGATTATTGAGATTATTGGCCTAGGTAACCAGATGTTGCCTGAAATGGAACAGATTTGTTGGATTGATGTTGCTGTTGAGGTGTTCAGCACAATGTTTATGTCACAATTGACATAAAATTGCTTATCATAAGGGGAGGAACAGGAGGGTTGAAGGATAAAACTACTGATACTTAAGGAGGATTTTCTATTGAATTGTTTGCTTGTGACGGCGCAGTTAGCATTGTCTATTTTACCTGCAATATGTAGAAAGAGGAGGATACCACAGAATGCTGGAAATAAATGAGGGTTTACGATGTAGCTGTGTTTCACTTCTGCCAAGGAGAGACCTTCAAGTTCAAGGTGTGTTTCAATTCTTCCTCTGTTGTAACCCCACTGAACAATCTACCTTTGGTTTTCGGTTGAGGAATTCATATTCCCAGATGCAGCAGGATTTCTAAGCAATATAGCTATAGCCTTAAAGCTTTTTATGTTGTCCACGAATGCCAGTTTCCTGTAACCTTTGCTAGAGTGAATTTTTGAACTGGTGCACAAACGCCTTCATGGTGTCAAAGAATGGTTATATTCTACCAAATTCTCCCCTCCCCCAACGCTACTCCTTTGTATGTATAGGGAAATAGGCTGGGATGTGTTATCACCAACCCGAATGTTGTGGAAACAGATGTTAAAAGTTATGGCGATCGTTTCAAGTGCTGTATGCTGTGCTCTTGAAACCATGCTATGTTCAACTATGGAAGCAAGGAGGAAGAAAAGAACAGCAGCCTAATACTCTACCACCAGCAGTGGGTTTAGCAGGGGCAAACTTGCCTGTCTGTGAAGGCACTTGTAGTTTTTTCTCTAGCCAAAATTCACTGTTCTGCTTTTTGTCATTCTCTCACACACACACCCCCCACACACACCCATTAGTCAAGAGCCCTTTGGCCTCAAAGGAGTTGCCACCCTCATTGGCAAAAGGGTTTTGCTTGTCTGTCACAGTAGTCAGCTGTAATAGAAGGAAAACCCATTGTACTTCAATGACATGTATTGCTCGGGCCCTTCCTGTATGGTCTCTTCCTTTGTGAAGTCTCTTCTGTTGCTAGCATGTAAGGGGAGAGGATGGCAGCATAGGATAGTAGCTGAAATTGATTCTCCTCCAAGTGTCCTCTCCTGCTAATGGGATGCCTTCAGGAGGCACAGATACCTGTCAGACCTGACAAGGCTGATGACAGGCAAGGTATTCTGATCTCATGCTATTCTTGCTGCTGCTGAAATATTTACAAGGTTCATTCTCCTAGGCTTGTGCTATACTGCAGCGTTTAATAGACCTTATGTCCCTGGGGTCTAGCGAGCCTCCTGTACTAGCTAATAGGAAGGAAAGCGAGGGATACTTCTGCTGCTTAGCCTCTCCATTTGTATTCCACATGTAATTAGGTTTTGGCATGTAGCTAATGGACAAAACCTTCAGATAAAGTGGCAAACATAATGTTGATGTAATGCATGACAGCTGCATTACATCATGTCTCTCATCATCCTGGAAATCTACTTTCTAATAGAAGGTTATAGTTTCCTTTTGCTGTCACAGCCAGTTCCCTTAATGAAACATAATCAAAGGTTTGGCTGGTTTAGAAAAAGTAAAAGGCAAAGTAGCTGGGAATGAAGATAAGGGACAAATCAATCTGGTGAGTTTTCTCCTGCCCATACTGTTCCTTGTCTCTGAAACAGTGAAACTTAATGAACCCTAGTGGTACAGTAATCAAGTACATTTAGTGCATGACAGCTTTACCTGCTTAAGGCAGACTGCTGTGCATACGTACATACACACAGATGATGCATTATTTGACGGAGACATACAATTTTACACCATTCTTTATTGGTCTAGGTGTTAGAACTCATTTGGCATGTCATTTTTAAAATACCTTGCAATAAATACTCATTCAAATATCTTCTATTCAGCTTGAGGATTTAACTCAACATTATCCATTTAATGTTCTTCACTGTTCTTCAATAGTTTAGAGCTATTAAATCATGTGTATCAAAGCAGTGTATTTTCTTATACTATGTTTGGGGTTTCTTCAGTCATGAATCAATTTGCGCATACATACAGGTACTCACGCTTTTGCTCTTTCGGTACACACTACTGGCAGTGTGTTTGAGTAAGTATTTTTAGATAACAATCTGTACAAATAGTTTGCCTTGTTGCGTTCACTGGTTGCCTTCTGCATGTTACAGAGGGAACTGGGATATCTGAGTGTTGGTAGTGGAGAGAAGAGAGTATGGCTTTGGGGGGCAGGTGGCAGCTCTTTTTTTAGAAAAAGTGAGATGACTATTTACTTTTTTTCTCTGTGCAATTTAGGACAAGTTTGTTTACAGCAGAGTGACTCCCCCTGCCAGTTCATCTTCTGTGCCCCTCTCAACAGGAAAACCAGAACGGATTACTTAGTTGTGTTGAGATATGGCAACTCAAACACTGCTTTGTATGAAGTTTGATTGTACCAGTTGCTGGTGGTCTTTTACATTGATTTTTGAAAATGCAGGTATTTCCTGCGAGCTGAATTGTCAAAGTCAGGTAGGAATGGAGTTTTAACTTCATAGTTTACTGGAGCTGGTTGCAGTTTACTGAAAGGTCTCAGCAAAAAGTATAACTCATTCTGTAATCTCATGGTGACATATGGTATGTAAATACCATGATCCACCCAAAGGGTAGCCAGTATTATAAATGTGCTTTCTAAGCTCCTGCTGAAATGAGCACTCAGTATAATGCAGCTGTAATCTAATAGATACTAACAGCCTGAGAATGTACAGTAAGACCTTAATAATTCAGTATTGTTTGATTGGCTCCATCTGACTTGCAATTAGCACGATAAGGGTTGTGCCTCTTGCAGTAGAGCAACTAACTGCATTAGTTTAATATTACTAGGATTTTTAAAGCCTTGACTTCCCAACAGAAATAGCCTAAGACATTTTAATTTTTAAAAAAAATGTAAACATATTTTGAATGTGATGTGCAGTACAACAAATTTTCATGGAGGGGAAGGGGGAATTATTACAAAAATTTCCATTCTGGATTCTCATACATATAATAAATTCAAGTCATGCACCACTCCTGATATGGCCAAAACCTTTTGGATGTAGTTTTGGTTTACTCTGCCCGGATTCTCTTGTTGTTCCTCTTTTAGGCCAGAGTCATAAAAAATTATTAGAAGTTGTTGCAGTGTTGCCCACAACAGGCATAAAAGGGAAAGGCTTATTCCACAGGTCTTACGGGTTTGCTTTGACACACAAGGTTACTCTGGAGCTCCTCCGGATGCATGTGCCTTCTGGGCCTTAGTTGCTTGGGAGAATCCATAGACATCCTTTCCAGGATGAACAACTGAGCTGATGAAACAAGCACATAGAAGATAGTGAAAGTACAAGCACCAGACTAGAGAGCACGGATCCCACCCAAGCTGTGGAAAAGCTCTCTTTTTTTTTTTTAAATATATGGCAGTTAGATAAAAGAAATATTTTTGTCCCGGTACAGCACTTAAAAGCAAATAAGGGAATTACATTGATACAAGGCAAATGCTTGCATCTTTTGAAAAAATACGACTTTGTGCAGATGATTGCACCTTTTTTTTTTTTTAATTTAAGAAATAAAAGCTGGGCAGGCTTTTATCTTCTCCCCTCCCCCTCCTCCAAGTAGCCTTCTGAAATGCTAAGAGTCTCGAGCAGATTTTTTGTACAACTAATTGATAGCCTGGCCTGTGCGTGTCATGTGCGCTGAGGCTTACCCCGGTGGCAAGATGGGTGCAGGATCTACAAACTCCCTCAGTTTCTTTGCAGAGTATGACATGCCAAATTCCTACAAACAATGCTGTAAAATGTTGGTGGTTTTTGTTTTGTTGGTTTGGGATTTTTTTGGGGGGAGAGGGGTGGGTTTCTGGTTTTTTTTTTTTTTGTTAGGGAGCTGATGGACCTAAAAGAACTTGCTTACTTAGCTTGAATGTATTAATCTCTATTTTGAGTTGGAAAATCCGCCATTGAACAGCATACCTATTAGGAATCCCCCAGGAAGAAAAGAACCAGTGTATGCATGTAAAAGTAAAGGTTCTACAAAACATTAGATTTTGCAGAGATACAGGAGTTTCTAGCATGAGTTGCACAATATTAGTGGCAGGTCTTTGAG